AACCATTGCCCTGTCCTCTGCCACCCTGTATGTCAGGTTCAGCCCCTCTGATTTACAAATGAGGAAACCGAGGCCTGGAGAGGTTCTGTGTCTTTTGAGTTAGTGGCCAAGGCCGGACTGGAACTTGCCTTTCCTAACCCCCTGCCCACTCTTCTTGTGTCCCTTTCCACGCTTGGGATTAGATTAGCTGGGCTAAGGGAGAGCCAGAAGGTGGCTGCAAACAGTAGTACGTAGGAGCATGAGAAGTGGGTTCCTGTACAGGGCTGCCCGTCCTGGGGGCCACTGACGACACCTAATGGGCCCAAAGAACCCCAAGTTCCCTGGGGCAGGGCCAGCAGCTGGCAAGGCAGCCCCATTCTTCAGGAGCAGAGAGATGGGGTTCAAATCCAGGTCTGCTTCTTGCCGGCTGTCCACCTTTGGGCTCACCTCACTGAGCCTGTTTTTTCATCTGTAAAATGGGGATGAGAGAAAAACACCTACGTGGCAGGGTTCTGGCAAACATACATTCAGCAGCCCCTCCTAAGTACAGGCACAGTTGTAGGGGCGAGGCCTGCAACAGCGACCAAGACACGGTCCCTGCCCTCACGGAACTGCCAGTCTAGTGGGGAGAAGAAAGACAATGACAAAGAGATGTAAAGCCAAGGCTCTGGCGATGAGGTCCACTAAAACCAGTGTGAGAGGGGGCGGCAGGGCTGCAGTCGCGTCTGGGGAGATCAGGGGGCGGGGGGACAACTGAGCAGAGGCCAGTGGTGGGAGGAAGTGTTTTAGGCCGAGGGAACAGTGAGGGCAAAGGTGAAGGGAGATGATGTGCGGCCTCGGCGCAGGGCCTGGCCCAAAACAGGAAGTCGTTGGCGTTCATGATGTCTTCTGGCTGGTTGCCCAGCACTTGGGAGCCAGGCTCAGGAATTAAGCCAAGGGAGAAACACTGCTTCTCCCGGGCAGCCCAGATGCCCCTGCAGGACAGACAGAGATAATCTGTTTCCCTTGATTACAAAAACTCATCCTCCAGAAGTGCTAGGAAATGCCCGCATCTGGTGATTTTCCATTCCTCCCTGGGGGAGGGAGCAGAGCCCAGCACAGGGCCAGAGGGCTGTCCTTCTGGGAGGGACAGGTAGCCACAAGACTCTCCCTCCACCTGCTCAGGCCTTGTCATCCAGATGAGAGAGAGCTCAACAGCAAAACATGGTGTATTGACTCCATGGGGCTTTGCACCAAAAGTAGAACCGCTGACCTTTCTTGAGTGCGGACAGGGTGGCCAGCTCTGTGCTGAGCACCTCACATATATCATCTCATTTAATCCTCCCAACTCTATGAGGTTGGTACCACATTTCTCTCCATTTGACAGATGAGGACACTGAGGCTCAGAAACGATAATTCACTTGCCCAGAGCCACAGTTGGTAAATGGCAGTCAGCCTTTGAACTGAGGCCCCCTTGACTCCCAGAGCCAATGCGTGCCAAGCGTCCATGAAGCAACATCTGTGAAAAGGTCAAACCCATGATCCGCCCTGATTCCAACGGCAGGAAAATGACTTTTTTAAGCCAGGGATTGGGAGAGGCCATGGAGCAGGGTAGACTGATTTGTAAAGTTATTAAAATAATAAATTGTTAATAAATAAAACAAAAGTGAAACGCTGTTGTGTATCAGGCAGAGGGAGATGTAATCAGTAACACACAGCATGGCCAAAGGCCTGGAGGTGGGCTTTTCGGAACACCTGACTTTGGATCCTGGTTCTATCCACTCTACACTCCTGCACAAGCACCTCTCCTCTTTCAGTCATAGTTTCCTTCTGTGAGCAAAATGGGAATATATTGATACCCTCTTCCCAGGGTGGGAGTGGGCCAAGGGAGAGAATGTGCGTGAAGTGCTCTGCACAGGACCTGCCTTGCCCACTGTGCTCAAAGAGTGTCCTTTGGTAGGCGGACAGGTTAGGCAAACTGTGTGGCATCCACACAGTGGTCACTAAGAGTGATAAACTTGTGGGCAATATTTTTACATAGAATTGTGGGATTGGGGTATTTGCTTGGCGATGGTAAGGACTCAAAATAATCAAGAATCTACCAGTGACAACTATGGCAAACACGAGTATGTGCTTTGGTAATATTACACGACATGCAAAACCTCACTTCCTCTCTACAACACTTCTTGGAGGGAGGAACAATTTAATGTGCCTGTTTTAGAGATGAAGCAGCTGAGGCCCAGAGATGTAAGACTTTTGCTCAAGGTTAGTGTTTGACTGCAGGGCCTGCCCCCTCTCCATTCATCGCGCTGCCTCTCATCACATTTGAGCCCTGCAACAACCCTACGTGGTGGTTGTCATTGCCCTTTTCCAGGTGAGGAGACCGTGTGGCTCCCTGGCACCAACCTTTGCCTAGAGAATGGGCTTTCAGGTCTGTATCAGTCGGGGTCCTACCAGAAAGAAAGAACCAGTAGGACGTATTTCGAGGAATTAGCTTATGCAATTGTGGGGTCTGGCTCAGCCAGTGTGTCATTTCTTTGGCAGGCTGGAAACTCTCAGGCAAGAGCTGATACTCCAGTTCACGTTTTGTCTTCCTCTGGGAAATTTCTTCCTCTGGGAAGTTCTGCTCTTAAGGCTGACCCTCGTTATCAAGGATGATCTCCTTTACTTCAAGTCAACTGACTGTAGATGTTAACCACATCTACAAAATCCCTTCATGGCAACACCTAGATTACCGTTTGATTAAATAACTGGGTAGGGCCTAGCCAAGCTGACACATAAAACTAACCAGCACAGAGTCAGACAGACCCAGGCTTGAGTCCTGGTACTACAACCTATAGGCTGTGTGACCTTAGGCAAGTTTCTCTGCCTCTCTGAGCCTGAGCCCCCTTGTCTGCCAAATGCTGTGCTAGTGCTTACCACAGTCATTTGTTGTGAGGATGAAATGCAGTGATGTAAATCTAGTGCCTTTGTCCAGTGCCTGTCGCATAGAGACAGGAGACGCACACAAAAATAGATGGTCAGAAGCAGCGTTTTCTAATTGTAGCGTAATTGCTTGTTCCTGTGTTTGCTTTCCTCTTTACACTGGTTGCTCCCGGAGGGCAGGAACTGTGTCCCATTCATCTTCTGTCCTGTTTCCTAGCTCAATCCCTGACTCTAAGGAGGCATCACTAAGTATTTCTTAAATGTCTAGTTGGCACTTTGTTAATGAGATTCCCTCTGTGGGGTTGTTGGGATCTGTGATAAAACTCCCCCAACTACAAGACAAGAGGGAGATAAGATGTGCAGGAACTCAGGCCTCTGTTCCCTCTAGAGGAACCCCTTACCCTTCAGCTTAGGAAATCTTTCCTCCAGGCAGCCTTCTCTGATGCCCCCAGGCCAACAGACACCCCTCCTCTGTGTTCCCACAATTCTCTGTGTGTCCCCCATCAGAGCAAGGACCACATGCTTTCCAAACACCTGACTGCTCATTTCTCTCTCTCCTCCCAAAAGAGAGAGGGGTGGGGGGGGAGTATCATTTATTCACGGCTGGAGCCCCAGCCTTGGGTCTGACACTCAGGCGGCATGTCGGTGGGCGTTTGTACGAGGGACATGTCTTATTTTCAGAAAGCTACGGGCTGACGCACCACACTTGAGGAACTCTGCTTTCTTGGGGCCTCTGTTGTGTCTGGCTGCCCCATTCCCTGGTCCAGCCATCTTTAAGGCAGAAGCAGAGCCAGGGTGATGGAGAAGAGCTTCCCTTCCCTGGCTTCCACGAGTATCTTGTGGTTCTTGAACTGAACTGAAGGAGGCGTCTGCCCTGTTTATTGCTGAGCACGACCTGGCCGGCCTCCCACTCACGTTCAACACAGGGGCCTTGCAGTCCCATGTTCCAGTCCCTAATCTTCTCCTGTGACATGCTCACTGGGCCTCATTATAATTAACCACTTTCCTTTCTCAGGCTTTGCCAAAACTGAGACAGCTAATTAATTTCTGGCCACTCGCCATTCCTGTTAAATGGTGGGCAGGGACGTAGCTTGCAGCCCTTGCTGCCCAGCTGGAAAAGCAGCCACCCTTTGTCTGCAAATAGAGGGAGCCCCAGCTGGACCCCGGCTGGCTGGCAGTGGCTTTATTTGAGTTGTTTGTTCCCCCAGTGGGCAGAGCCTTTGTGATCACTGCTGTAGCTGTGTCTCGGTCTCCTCATTTGTAAAACAAAGGGATTAACTTGACACACAGGGAGAGGATGGGGTAGAGGTTAGGAGTGTGGGTTCTGGAATCAGAGGGACGCGGGGCCCAACCCAGGCCCTGCCACGCCTAGCTGTGGGACTAGGTGTGTTACTTCACCCCTCTGAGCCTCAACATTCCTCACCTGTAAAATGGGGATGATAATGCTCACTTGCTTTTGTGGTTGCACAGATTCAGTGGGATGGTGAATACACACATGGCACTTATTTAGCAGGTAGCTGGCACACAGTAAGTGCTCAGGAAATCCTCTCACCAGCTGTCTTTCCTTCCAGTGCTAACATTCCATCTTCCTGGTGAAAGAAGTCCTTTTGTTGGGAGAGCTGGGGAGTGGAGCAATTTTAACAGATGTTGCTTCTGTGTCTTAGTCCACAGCCGACAAGACTGTTAACCCCTCTGTATTAGTTTCCTAGGGTTGCCATAACAAATGGCCATAAACTGGGTGACTGAAAACAACAGAAATGTATTCTTCACCGTTCAGGAGGCTAGAGTCTGCAGTCAGGCAGGGCCCTGCTCCCTCTGAAGGCTCTAGGGAAGAACCTTCTTTGCCTGCCTCCTGGCAGTTGCCAGCCATCCTTGGCATCCCTTGAACTTGCAGCTGCATCCCTCCAATTTTTGCCTCTGTTTTCACGTGGCCGTGTTCCCTCTGTGTGTGTCTCTGTGTCCCTTCTTATAAGGACACCAGTCGTGTTGGATTTAGGGCCCACCCGAATCTAGTATGAGCTCATCTTAATGAATTACATTTGCAAAGACCCTATTTCCAAATAAGGTCACATTATGAGGTTCTGGGTAGACATGAATTTTGGGGGCACCTGTTCAACCCAGCATACTCTCCAAGGCTCACGTTCCTCCTCTGCATGAGGATGATGATAGTAGTAATTTCATAGGGTTGTTGGAGTGATTACATGAGATAATTTATGTAAATGTGATGGTAGAATTCAATAGAATATGTCAGGCCCGTATGAGACTGAGTCAGTCATAGAGATGGTGGTGAAGATGATGACAGTGATGGGGACGGTTCCATCCATGTTCCCTACATTGGCTAACCACTGGACACGGGGACCTAGAATGTAGGCATCCACTAAGAGCCCAGGGCCTCGGCAGGAATGCTGAAGTCTTGGACAGCAGCCCCCCTTCACCTTTGGCCTCAGCCACCTTGAACCCTCATCTGAGACTTAGCTCCTGGGAGGGCAGCTTGGAGAAGTAGAAAGAACTTGGCCTCCCCGGAATCAGGAGAATTGACGCTCTGTGTAACCTTGTGCAACTGTCTCTCCCTCTCCAGGCCTTAGTGTCCCCATCTACAAAGTGGGAGAGGAGGTTTGAACTCAGCGTGACAGATCAGAGCCTCTTCCAGTGCTGAAGTTCCAGCACAGGGCTGGGTGTCCCACCCCATGGGTGGCAGATTACCAAGGGCCAGCAAAGGACTAAGGAGCCTGTGACTCCCAGGGCAGCTCACCAGGTGTCATTCCCATTTTCCTCATCTGAACAAGAAAAGAAGCCGCTATGATATGAGTGTGCCAGGCAGTGTGCTAGGGACATCATAGGCATGAACTCAATGGATATTCACCACACCTTCAAGAGGTAGGATCATTATACCCAGATCACAGAGGAGCAAACTGAGGCTCAGAGAAGTTGGAACTCACCCAGGGTCATACAGTTAGTTAGAGGCAGAGCCGGGGCTTAAATCTAGGTGTGTCTGGTGCCACAGTCCATGCTTCTCGCTGGGCCGCACTTTTACTGTATCGGTGTCCTAGGGCTGCCGTAACACATTACCACGAACTTGATGGCTTAGAACAACAGAAATTCTTTCACAGTTCTGGAGGCCAGAAGTCCAAAAAGTGTCTGCAGGGCTGCGCTCCCTCTGAAGGCTCTTGGGGAGAATCCTTCCTTGCCTCTTCCAGCTTCTGGTGGCTCCAGCCCTTCCTTGGCTTGTGGCTGCACCGCTCTAATCTCTGCTTCCATGTTCACATGGACTTCTCCTCTTCTCCCTGTGTGTCTCTTACAAGGGCGCTTGTCATTGGAGTTAGGGTCCACCCCGATAATCCAAGATGGTCTCATCTGGAGAGCCTTAGCTTAATTACATCTGTAAAGACCTTTTTTCCAAGTAAGGCCACATTCACAGGTACTGGAGGTTAGGATGTAGACTTGTCTTTTTAGGGGCCACCGTTTAACCCACTACAGTTATTAAAGCCTTGGTGGTGACAGTATCTGTTGAGTCCCTGGCCCGCAATGTGGAGGTGCAGGGAGTGGGAAATTTCTGGAGCAGTTTAGAAGTAGAAGGAGATGAACAAAGTTGTGAGTTGGGGAGGCCAATCTGGGGGGCATGTGTGACAGGGATGTGGCTTAAGCTGATGTTCCAGCAGCAGTGATGCTGGTGAGGTAAGACATACATGAAAACCACACCTGGGTATGGGTGAGTGCAGCCAGCCACAGGGCAGAAGCCTGGAAGCTTGTGCACAGAGGCCAGCCCTTCCTGTTGTGGCATATGTCCACATTAATGGATTGGAGCTTATAGATACCACAGAAAATGGATTTGGCCTTGCTTTCTTGTCTGGAGAGACGGGAGAAGGCCAGGCCTGAGCACCAGTGTGTGTGTCTGCAACGTGATTTCCCTGTATCATCTCGGGCCCTCCATTAACCTAAGAGGGTGGTATCATCTTTACTCAGATAACCACATTCATGAATGCATGAGGGGAGGACTGAGATGGGGGCTCCAAGGAATGGCCACATGGTGCTGAGAAAGCAACTAACCAACCAGCCATGACAGATATGGAGCACTTTCTTGTATTAACTCAGGTCTCACCACAGCTGGATGAGGTGTGTACTGTTGATATCTCCATTTTCTAACACGTGGAAGGAATAAGGGTTAGGTTTAGATTCTATGATTCGGTGAGCAGAACCAGGAAAAATAGTGCCAGGTGAAAAGGAGGCAGTCTTTAGCTCAAAAAAAAGAGAAGGAATTTGCTTACCCTGTGAGTTGTCCCAACAATGGGATGGGTTATGCCCGCAGGTGGTGAGTTCCCTGTCTCTGGACATACTCAAGCAGAAACTGCATAGCCATTTGTCTGGAGTGCCGTAGAGGGGATGCTCTCACCATGACGGTTCCTTCTAGCTCTGAGATTCTAGGAGTTTTTCCCAAGGAGAACATCAGATAGCTGTGTGCACAAAGATGTTTATCACAGCATTATTTATAATAACAAAGAAGTGGAAACAACCTACGTATCTTTCAATAGGGGATTTATTAAGGGGCTTTAGTATCCATAAGTAAGACTAGATCCAGCCTGCAGTCTGTTTGTGTGGTCCTTGAGCTAAAAATAATTTTTATACTTTTAAAGGGTTGTACAAAAAAAAAACCAAGGAAGAATATGTGACAGAGATCTTGTGTGACCTACAAAGCCTAAAATATTTACTCCCTACTCTTTACAGAAAAAGTTTGTTGCCCTTTGGACTAGAATAACAATCAGTCACCAAAAGTTATATTAATTGTATCTATGGATACAGAATGATGGTCACAGCATATTTTTGAGAGAAAGAAGCAGGTTATATAAGTTTTACAGCAAGATCCTGTTTACGTATATAAAACAGGGTATGTGTGTTTGCATGTTATCTGTAATGATGGTCTATAATATTAATGGTGGCTTTTAAACTTTCTTTATTAAATGATTCTGTATTGTTTGAACATTTTATAGTGAGCAGCTGTCATTTTTGAGATCTCAAAAAGCATTTGGGAATAAAATTAATTCTAAATACTCCAGCAATCCACACTGTTTGGGACCAAATGAGTTAGTTTTTTTTTAATGAAGTACAATTGACATACAGTATTATATTAGTTTCAGGTGTACAACATAGTGATTCAACATTTGTATACATTGTGAAATGGTCACCACGGTAAGTCTAGTTACCGTGTGTCACCTTACAAAGTTACTACATTATTACTGACTATATTCCCCATGCTGTACATTACATCCCCATGGCCTACTTATTTTATAATTGGAAGTTTATACTTCTTAATCCCGTTCATCTATTTGCCTCCCCCCTCCCCTCTGGCAACCACCAATCTGTTCTCTGTATCTATGAGTCTGAGTTTTGTTTTGTTTTTTTGGTTGTTTGTTTTGTTTTTTAGATTCCACATATAAATGAAATCATGCAGTATTTGTCTTTCTCTGTCTGACCTGTTTCACTTAGCATAATACCCTCAAGGTCCATCCATGTTGTCAAAAATGGCAAGATTTCATTCTTTTTTGTGGCTGAATAGTATTCTGTTGTGTATATATATATACCACATCTTATTTCTTTATCCATTCAACCATTGATGGACACTTGGATTGTTTCCATATCTTGGCCATTGTAAATAATGCTGCAGTCAACATAGGGATACAGATAGCTTTTCAAGTTAGTGTTTTCATTTCCTTTGGATATATTCCCAGAAGTAGAATTGCTGGATCATATGGTAGTTCTATTTTTAATTTTTTGAGGAAACTTCATAGTGTTTTCCATAGTGGCTGTACTAATTTACATTCCCACCAACAGTGTACGAGAATTCCCTTTTCTCTACATCCTCGCCACTTTCCACTTGTTATCTCTTGTCTTTTTTTTTTTTTTTTTTTTTTTTGTGAGGGAGATCAGCCCTGAGCTAACATCTGTGCTAATCCTCCTCTTTTTGCTGAGGAAGACTGGCCCTGAGCTAACATCTATTGTCAATCCTCCTCCTTTTTTCCCCCAAAGCCCCACAAAGCCCCAGTAGATAGTTGTATGTCATAGTTGCACATCCTTCTAGTTGCTGTATGTGGGACGCGGCCTCAGCATGGCCGGAGAAGCGGTGCATCGGTGTGCATCCGGGATCCGAACCCGGGCCGCCAGTAGCGGAGCGCGCGCACTTAACCGCTAAGCCACGGGGCCGGCCCACTTGTCTTTTTGATAATAGCCATTCTGACAGCGTGAGGTGATATCTCATTGTGGTTTTGATTTGCATTTCCCTGATGATTAGTGATGTTGAGCATCTTTCATGTTATGTGCCTGTTGGCCATCTGTATGTCTTCTTTGGAAAAATGTCTACTCTGGTCCTCTGCCCATTTTTTAATTGGATTGTTTGTTTTTTTGCTATTAAGTTGCAAGACCAAATGAGTTTTGATCTAGGCTGAAGCTGTTTTGTTGGATTTGGTTCCTAAGGTGCCACAAGGTTGATCAGACTGAGGTGCTATTGGGGCTCTTACCTTGTTGCTGCTGTTGCTATTGTTTTTGCGTTTAGATCTCTTGCCCCTACTTTGACCCCCATGGGCTGTTGTGCATAAGTGGGGGAAAAAACCGCTCAGTTTAAAAACAAATTAGCTACTTTGGCGAAATGATCTGACAACATTTCCCTTTGCCGCTGCAGAGCTGAGTCACTTCAGATTCAGGGCAAACTGGGTCAGGCCCAGGTGTCCTTCAGGGAACTCGGGTTCGTCTGGGTTGAGGATGGAAGGGAGGAGGAGAGGAGGGTAGAAAGGAGAGAGGGAAGGGGGGAGGAGGAGTCCCATTTGAGCTCTTCGACTGTGGCTGGTTACTTCCAAAGGATCAGGGCACTTGACTCCTCTGTCCCACAGGGAGTCCTCCTGTAAACGCTGTATCCCCTCTGTACCGCATGGAGGGGACACGGTTCCTGACCGAACGATGTCCCAGTCTAGTGTGGAAGACAGACACGTCGACATTCATTTATTCACCAAATGTGCTTGGAGCACCTGCTTTGTGCTAGGCGCTGCTGCAGGTTCTAGGCGCATAGTGGTGACCAAGACGAATGCCATGCCTTTGGGGAGTTTGTTTTAGTTCCCAAAGAGAGTATGTGAGGTGTGCACAGAGTACTTTGGGCCCACAGGAGAGAAGCTGAAACCGAAGTCAAGAGGAAGTCACCTCTACTCAGCCTCTTTCTGACTCTGCAACCTTGGGCAAGTTCCTTTACTGCTCTCTATAAATTAGAAATAATAAATCTATCTACCTCATAGAGGTGTTGGGAGGATTAAATGATGTAAAATGCTTTCCCAGTGCCTGGCACATAGTCAATGTCCAACAAATGTTTATTATCTATTAAAAAACAGACAAAACACAGGAGTAAGTGGTACATAGTCGCGCCTGAGCTAGACCTGGCATGTCGGTGTTGTCCATAAATACTGGCTGCCGCCCTCTTGTGACCAGAGGTGTACGTTTTGTTCTGAATTGACCTCTCCTCCTTGCCCCACTGGGCCCCATCATTGTGCCTGTGACATTGTTCTGATGTTTGTAAGTCTGTCTCTCCCTGACCCCACCTGAACTGTGGGCAGATTGTCTCCAAACCCCCAGACTCTAGCAGGGTCGAGGAATGTCTGAGAAACAGATGAATGCCATGGAGCTAGCCCGCCTCTGGACCAGGTCATTCCACTTGGGCCTGGCCTCCAGACTGGGGTCCTCCCCACAGCCAATGTTTGATAAGCTAGTGCAGGTGGCAAGGAGGCTGGGGACGGTGAACAGCAAAGCCGGACCTGAGTGGTTATGAGAGTGGGCTCTGGGAACCAGATCTAAGTTTGAATCCTGTCACTGTCACTTCCTAGCCATGTCTTCCGGTGAGCCATCAAAGAACGGGATCTTCTGCTGATGGTATTAACACTCAGGGTTGCAGTGAGGATGAAATGAAATCACGCATTTGCTGCTTTTGGCATAGTGCCTGGCTCATGAAAGAAAAGACTCAGAGAGAATGTTCCTTAAAGAAAACAACCCACCCAAAGCTGTCGAACCAGTCCCCTTGAGGCCGTGTACAAAGGAGGCCTGTTTTAGCCACCTTCTGGGCACCAGGCATTAAGATGTCAGCCAGTGTAACCAACTGCCCCGGGTTTGCCTGGGGGAGAAAATTCTTACTAGGAGCTTGCTTGTCAGCTAAGAAGCCCATCTCTCCAGAGGCCCAGGAGCGTGTGTGGATTTAATGTGGCCTTGGCCGTGCTTCAGTCACAGAGCACGCCCCATGTCCACCAAATTGAAAGAAAATTAATAGAGGTGCTGATCTTCCCTGGCGGCGGGGCTTGTTTCACAGATGACGGAATGAGTTTGGGGCTCTGAAACGAACATGGTCCTCCACTCGGTGCTTCATATAAGGGAAGCCTTGTAGAGGACTGAAAGGGACGGTTGGGAGCAGATTCCCCAGCAGCTGCATAATTCAAGATGAGCTAATAGGGATTTTGAGTTAGAAAAACCCAAGGCATCTGAGAGTCAATAGAGGTTCAGCCAGAACTTACTGTCCTTCCCGCCGGGGTTGGGTCCAATGGTGAAGATTGAACCCTATGAGAAAAAAGCCGAAAAATATCAGGGGAAAAAATCCCCAAAGGGCTGCCAGTTCTTGTCTATGTGCTGGCCAGTAAGCTAGACGCTTTCCTGTGTGTTGGTTCCTGAAAAGCATGATTACACTGAAATTACCAACGAGGAAACAGTTTCAGAGAGGTGCAGTAATTTATCCAAGATCACACAGCTAAGTCTGTTGAGGAGCCAGGTTCTGAATGGCTCTCAAGGATTCCCTCACTGCACTCGCTAGCTTAGAAAACAGACACAGGGACAGCACTCGATTATCCACAACTTCTTTTGTTATTGTGGGTAAAATACACGTAACATAAAATTTATCCTTTTAAGCATTTTTAAGTGTACATTAACTACATTCACATTGTTGTGCAGCCATCACCACCATCCATCTCCAGATATTCTTTCATCTTCCCAAACAGAAACTCTGTACCCATTAAACAATAACGCCCCATTCCCCCCTTCTCTAGTCCCTGGAAACCACCATTCTACTTTCTGTCTCTATGAATCTGACTACTCTGATTACCTCGTATGAGTGGAATCATAGAAGTTTTTGTCCTTTTGTGACTGGCTTATCTCACTTGACACAATGTCCTCAAGCTTCATTCATGTTGTAGCATATGTTGGAATTTCCTTCAAGGGCTGAATAATATTCCATTGTATATAAACACCGCATTTTGTTTATCCATTCATCCATCAGTGGACACATGGGTTGCTTTTACCTTTTGGCTGTTATGGATAGTGCTGCCATGAATACTAGTGTACAGATATCTCTTTAAGATCCTGCTTTTGGGCCGGCCCCGTGGCTTAGCGGTTAAGTGCGCACGCTCCGCTACTGGCGGCCCGGGTTCGGATCCGGGCGCACACCGACGCACCGCTTCTCCGGCCATGCTGAGGCCACATCCCACATACAGCAACTAGAAGGATGTGCAGCTATGACATACAACTATCTACTGGGGCTTTGGGGAAAAAAAAAGGAGGAGGATTGGCAATAGATGTTAGCTCAGAGCCGGTCTTCCTCAGCTAAAAGAGGAGGATTGGCATGGATGTTAGCTCAGGGCTGATCTTCCTCACAAAAAAAATAAAAATAAATAAAAAATTAAAAAGATCCTGCTTTTAATTCTCTTGACTATATACCCAGAAGTGGAATTGCTGGATCATATATCAATTTTATTTTCAATTTTTTGAGGAATTGCCATGCTTTTTTCCACAGTGGCTGCACCAGTTTATATTCCCACCAATGATGTACAAGGGTTCCGATTTCCCTACATCCTTGCCAACACTTGTTATTTTCTGTTTTTCTGATAGTAACCATTCTAATAGGTGTGAAGTGGTATCTCATTGTGGTTTTGATTCGTATTTCCCTAATGATTAATAATGTTGAGAATCTTTTCATGTGCTTGTTGGTTATTTGTATATCTTTAGAGAAATGTCGATTCAAGTTCTTTGCCCATTTTTTTTTATTGATGTTTTAATAGTTTATAACATTGTGAAATTTTGGGTTGTACATTTTTGTTTGTCCATCACCATATATGTGTCTCCCTTCACCCCTTGTGCCCACCCCCTACCCCCATTGCCCCTGGTAATCACAATACAGTTTTCTCTGTCCATGTGTTGGTTTATATTCCCCATATGAGTGAGATCATACGGTGTTTGTCTTTCTTTTTCTGGCTTATTTCACTTAACATAATACGCTCCAGGCCCATCCATGTTGTTGCAAATGGGATGATTTTGTCTTTTTTTATGGCTGAGTAGTATTCCACTGTATATATATACCACATCTTCTTGATCCAATCATCAGTCTCGGGACACTTAGGTTGCTTCCACTTCTTGGCTATAGTGAATAATGCTGCAGTGAATCCTTTGCCCGTTTTTTAATCTAGTTGTTTACTTTTTTATTGTTGAGTTGTAGGAGTTCTTTATATATTCTGGATATTAACCCATTATCAGATATGTGATTTGCAAATATTTTATCCCATTCTGCAGGTGGTCTTTTCATTCTGTTGATAGTGTCCTTTGCACAAAGGTTTTTAATTTTGATGTAGTCCAGTTTATCTATTTTTCTCTTGTTGCCTGTGCTTTTGGTATCATATCTAAGAAATCCTTGCCAAATCCAGTGTCATGAAGCTTTCGCCCTATGTTTTCTTTTTTTTTTGTGAGGAAGATCAGCCCTGAGCTAACATCCATGCTAATCCTCCTCTTTTTGCTGAGGAAGACCGGCTCTGAGCTAACATCTATTGCCAATCCTCCTCCTTTTTTTTTTTTTTTCCTCCCCAAAGCCCCAGTAGATAGCTGTACATCATAGTTGCACATCCTTCTAGTTGCTGTATGTGGGACGGACGCGGCCTCAGCATGGCCGGAGAAGCGGTACGTTGGTGCGCACCCGGGATCTGAACCCGGGCCGCCAGTAGCAGAGTGCGCACACTTAACCACTAAGCCACGGGGCCGGCCAGCCCCTCTATGTTTTCTTCTAAGAGTTTTATAGTTTTATATCTTCCATTTAGGTCTTTAATCGATTTTAAATTAATTTTTTAAATTTTATTTATTTATTTTTCCCCCCAATGCCCCAGCAGATAGTTGTAGGTCATAGCTGCACATCCTTCTAGTTGCTGTATGTGGGACTCGGCCTCAGCATGGCCGGAGAAGCGGTGCATCGGAGCACGCCCGGGATTGAACCCGGGCCACCAGCAGCGGAGCATGCGCACTTAACCACTAAGCCACGGGGCCGGCCCTAAATTAATTTTTTATATAGTGTAAGGTAAGGGTCCAATGTCATATTTACAACTTTTTGAAATAGAAAAAAAAAGATAATTAGAGAAAAACAGTAGGGTTTTGAGGGGTGGGGCAATAAATGATTTATCTTTCTAGAAAGTTCAGTTTCTGGTCCACTCGTGCTCTGCCCTCCATCTAGCCTCCAAGTAGTAGTCAGAATGATCTTTCAGGAAACACACATAAATCAAACCACGTCACTCCCCTGCTTAAAATCTCCAATGGCTTCCCATGGCACTCAGAATAAAATCTAAACTTCTTGCTATGGCCCGAAGGCTCTGCATGATTTGACCCTTGCCTTTGACTTCTGCTGCATTTCCTGTTACTTCCTCTCTGGCTCACTGCCCTTTAGTTACACTTGATTTCTGACCATTCCTGCAGCTCATCGAGCTCTTTCCTGCCACAGGGTCTTTGCACAGGCTGTTCTTTCTGCCTGAAACAACCTACCCCATTATCTTCACATGGCTGACTCCTCGTTCTTCCCAACCTAGCAGAAATGTCATCTCGTCTCAGTCATCTTGAACTGCCATAACAAAATACCACAGACTGAGTGGCTGAAACAACAGAAATTTATTTTCTCACAGTTCTGGAGGCTAAAAATCCGAGGTCAAGGTTGCCAGTATGGTCAGTTTCTAGTGAGAGTTGTCTTCCTGGCTTGTAGATGGCTGCCTTCTTGCTGTGTCCTCACATGGCAAGGGG